ATGAATTGTTAATTACCATTTTCCGTGTTTGTTCATCCCCAACATTACTCAATGTGCATGCCACTAAACTGTGTAATTTATTCTTAACTCCATAATTTGATTTGTACCGGCTCGAAGGACCAAAAATGTGCAGGATAGCGATTTGGATGGGAAACTAGGCATTATTAGGGATAATAAAAACTGTCAGATTGAGAATTCTGTGACAACTGTATTTACAAAACAATAGACAAAACAAAATCAATATAAAACCATAAATACTAATTAAAACCCTCTAACAGTAATGTTTTTACTTTTGCCATCTTGAAACTTTTATTATTTCTTGCCACATTCCCCTTTGCCCATATTAATTCTATAGGGTTAAGCTCACAATGGTAGTCGGAGTACAGTAATACCATGAGCGGCAGCCATCTCATCTACAACGCATTGTAAGTATTTATGTTTTTCACGCTGTAAAATGTCTAATAAACCTTAAAAAGCAAAAAAAAGCCTTTATCATGTTTTCACTAAAATCGATTTTTTTTTATTTTAACCAATTTTGAATATCCAATTTTCGTCATGCTGTTGTAGGCACTTTCTCCACTCTCCTGGAGTGATACGGTGCATTGTCCATGACAAGTACCGAATTTGGTTTCAATTTAGGCAGTATTTGTCCAAACCACTCCTCAAATACTTCCGCAATCATTTCTTTGTGGTAATCATCTGTTCACTTCTTCGATTCAAAAACCAATAAACTGTCATTTATAAAACCCTTCTTCACTGCCTATATGGCTAATAATTAATCTCCTTCCTTTTCCTGTAGGAGTTTTTAGACCTGTTGTAAGACCCTCAAGAAAGGCTTCACGAGAAGACTCTATTGATGTATCTACCCATGCTTTGTTCACAATATGTCCCTCATTAACCCATGTCTCGTCTTGATTGTAAATAAATCTTCCTTCCCTTTGGTATTCCTTTATTTGGTGTAAATATTTTTGACGCCTTAATATTATGTCATTACTGTCCATCAGTGCACTTCGTCGTTTTCTGCTGGCATATTTGAATTTTATTAAGTGCTTTAACACTTTTCTTACTATAGACTTTGACCTAACGGGCATATCTTGATCATCACCTATTACTTTTGTAGATCTGAAATAAACATTTACATTACTTTATACTGCTTGCTGTACCTATACCTATGTGTAGGTACTTAATAAATAAATAAAAGAGAAGTAAATAAAGTAGCATTATAATTACCTTTTCAATAGTTGGAGCTTCTTTTCTGTAAAAAAAGTCGTGACTCAGGCCAATTTTGTATATTGTACTTGTATACGTTGACCAATATTAGCTTCTCATTTCCTAATAAAGCACTGCGAGGACGCTTCTTTTTGGGAGAGAGAAAGTCAAACTCTCGTACGTCTTCCGACGACCAAACCGATTCCCGTGACGGGCCAGGTTCTGGGTTCATGGTCAAAACTTCAAGATTAACAAAACAAGTAATAAAACGTAACAGCAAATAAAAACTGAATAGCAACAAACACCAACCAAGAGCACCAACGAACGACGGAGTACATAGGAAGTAGGAACACATATTAGAGTTTTTTTTTTATGTGACAGGAGGCAAACGAGCAGACGGATCACCTGATGGTAAGTGATTACCGTCGCCCATAGACACCCGCAGACCCAGGGGCGTTACAGGTGCGTTGCCGGCTTTTAAGGTAAAGATACGCTCTCCTCTTGAAAGCTTGCAGGTCGTATCCGTCCGGAAACACCGCAGACGACAGTCCATTCCACAGTTTGGTTGTACGGGGCAGGAAGTTTCTAGAGAAACGTACTGTTGTGGACTGCCAACCATCTAAGTGATGGGGGTGGAAGTGCTGTCGGGTAGATCGGTGGCGAAAAGTGGCGGCAGGAATAAGTCCGGATAATTCTTCGGAGCACTCCCCGTGATACATGCGATAGAAGATGCACAGTGAGGATACATCTCTACGCAGCGCCAAAGGGTCAAGCCGATCCGAAATGTCCTGGCAGTCAACGATTCGAGCTGCTCTCCGTTCAATGCGGTCCAGCCAGAGGGAGAAGCTGGTACTGGGGCGCACCTGCCCAAAGATGAGAACAGTATTCCATATGAGGCCGAACCTGCGCCTTGTAAAGTTGCAGACGATGGGCTGGAGTGAAATACCGTCGCGATCTATTGAGCACACCAAGCTTCTTCGAGGCTAATTTAGCCTTACCCTCTAAATGACCACGGAACTGGACTTCGCTCGATATGTCGACACCAAGTATTCCGATATTGGCTGAGGCAGTTAGGAGAGTGCTCTCGAAACAGCGGGATACGACAAACGGCAACTTTTTGGCGGTGAACGCGCAAACTTGTGTCTTTGTAGGGTTAAATTGGACCTAATTGCGTCGACCCCAGTCTGAGTCCTCCTGAAGTTTGAGGGTAGGAATGAAATAATTATGACAAGAAGACAACAACATACCCCGCGCATTTTTTTATTTTATTTTTGGCATTTCGTTAGATTGGCTATGTTATGAAGCGAAAATTTTACTATAAAAATGTGTTTCATAAAAATGGTTTGTAACCCATGGATTATTGGCCAGGGAGTCCAGTAATAGAAAAATAATTTCCCAATTTTTTTTGTAACTTTAAAAATATGATAATAAAAATTCAAATAACCATTTTGAAACGATCAGTACATTTTTAAGCCTTAGTTTTTCAAGTGAAACCCTACATTCAAGAAAGGATTATTTTTTAATTTGTGAAAATTCCAATGAAGCGGCAGAGAAATCGATGGGCTTGACACAGGTTCTTGCTTTGTTACCAGGTGGCCCCGGTGGGAATCTTCAGATATCTTGATTGGGATCTGGTGCGTTCCTTGCATAACTTGAAATTGCAAAAAAAATTCTGAACAGGTTAATAATTACAACATTCCGTTAATTCCGTCATATCATAGACATGACAGTTCCTCCCCCTCGAATTCTTTACAAAATAGTAACGCTCGTGCAGGAGCATTTCATCAACGTGACGTCTCTTCGTCGGAGATTTTCAGTAAGCGAACTTAGTGTTTTTTATCCGTGTAATATTAACCTTCAGGGCTCCTCTAATTCGTTTTAACTTGATTACTTCAATTATCAACGTAACCAATTATTAAATAAATAATACAACAATTCGTTAATCCGTCATAACAAAACAGCGATAAAGAAAATAATAACGATTCTATATATTTTCGGCCACTGGCGAGTATGCACCTACTTTGACTCTCTACAAATACACTTACAAAAAAAAAGTAAAAGAATGAGCACTGAAGTTCTTAACAATGCACCAAATGGTGGAAAAAGAGAAAATTCAAAAAGATCACATTTTGTGAACACGTTAAACATACACGATGTTGTAAAGCAGAATCACGAGTGCATTGAAAGGGATCTTCGGAGTGGCTGGCGATGATAGCAGCAACTTCCTCGGCTGTAGTCACTCGTCCTCGTGCTTGCCGAGGACGTCACTCAGCGTTTCATCTCCACCTTCCTCATGTCTGCGTATCCATAAATACACCGTTCGTCTCTGCATGTAGCGAATGAAGAAACATGTCATCGGCTAAATATAATCGTGACAGTATCTATTCATAAGAATGTCATTTTTGTGAAATTTACTCACATGCACCCCTAACTCGCGTGATATCTCGGCAACAGATAGCCTAATTTGAGGGTCACTACACTAATCCCTTTTTTCCCATGGTCCCTGTGATAGTCCCTGGAAGGTACTGTAGTGGCCCGCTGAAGGTCTGACGCCCGTATTCACAAACAATGCTTGCTTAAGTGAAGCAGTAAATCGTACACATAGCGTTGAATAGAGCGCGTGTGATTGGTTCATGTGTCACCCTGTGCGTCCTTGCGCACTGTGAGACCTCATAGTAATGTTTGTGAATACAGGCGTTAGTCTCGTGGTTAAGTGCGCTTCGGGCACAGAGCATGGAATCGCTTGTGGTTTCGGGGCTACTATTACTACTTATTCGAGTTAGACAAAACAATAAGAGGACAGGCGAAAAAGAAAAAACGATCTTCGTCGATGAAAAAAAATTCTTACTGGCCAGTGCTCGCAGCCAAGAAGGCGGCCGTCGCGGACGCAACAGGTACCACGGGAATTATTATACCCGTGGTCCCTGAATTTAGTATAAACCAACTAATTTAGTTCCTTCCAAATGCAATCCCTAGCTGCTCCCATAATGCGTTCGAAAAGCCATTCTTTTTGGTGTTACCCCATTAGCTTGTGACCCGTAGGTACCGACCATACAACTCGCGGTCTCGTATCAATCTTGCTTGCGCCTGTGCATGATAAAACGGTCATCCCTCTGCGATGTGCACCGGCGCTGTTCAGAACTTGGTCAGACGCTTCTGGAAGCCACCAGTCTCCCGAAAGCGTCTTAAAACTTTCGAAACCCAGGATTGGCTTATGTGGGCTGACGTGCGACAGCCCGCTGGCTGAGCCCTGCTTGCAATAGTGCAACGATTTGTGCTGCTTCTGTAGGTGTAAAATCCCAGGTAAAGTGTCAAAAGAAGCGGAGATGTGTATGGATCAACGTGTGAAAACAAAAATCCAAAAACACGTGCTTTTATAGGGGGTAAATAGGCCGGAACGCGCGACGTATCAAACAGTTGATACATGTCTTTTTCCTTACTTCTTCACATCAGCCGGGATATCTTTTAAAAAAATACTGGTGTGATTTAAATGAATTTGGTATCAATTTAAAGTTAAAAGTTTAATAAAAAAATAAAATGGTGCCACTTTTTTTACTAGCAAATTAGTACACAAGATCGCGTGGAAACAATTTCATGTGATTCCATACTTTTGCTCGCGAGTGTAGATACTTAGTTCTCACCAGTTATTGAGATTTTACGTATCAAATTATTGGGTCCGGAAAACTTGGAGTTTATGGTAAATAAACACAACAAAATTGTAAACCAATAATTTATTTGTCACAAGAATTATATCAGAATACATTGGCAGATGGTTAGAGTATTATCTTTGGTTTTACTACAACAAGCGATACATCTACTGTAAATGCAATTACTGTCGTCCCGTTTTTCCTGCCAGTGAATAACTGTAATGATTTCTACATTAGAAGTATTAATAACTAGCCTTATACAAAAATAAAAGTGAGTAAATATTAGCTAATTGATACGCCGTGTAGGCATAGAGACGCGTGTTCCGAGAGACGTCATCCTGATTGAGGCAAGTCGTTGCGAGAGCACAGTAACAAGGGTGTAGTTGACACCGTAAATCAATACTTTCAATTTCAATTGAGCGTGAAATAAGTAAGTCAGTTGTGGTGGTAAAATTTGACGTCAGGCATTTTGATAGCTCAAAAGAGTCAATCTGGCTAGTGTGAGAAGTATAGACCAAATTTTCTATTTGTTACTCATGAGATTCGGTATATGAGAGAGGCGATTGATTGGTGATGTCAACTAGCATAATAATATTTAATAGCGCTACGTAAGCCAATCAGGACAGCTTCTGTGATTGACGGAAGTCTACGGGTCGACGAAGGAGATCATGATGTAGCGGGTGCCCTTGGTGACCCGCAGCCCCTCGTGGAAGTGTGTGAGACGGCCCGGGTGCATGAGGAGCCAGCCGGGCCGCGTGTCGCGCACCGAGCAGTTGTAGCGGAGGAAGCGACAGCCGCCGCCCTCGTAGTCCACGTCTGAAACAAACAGTTGACGCTTGAAACATTAAGAGCTCGTTCTCACTTATCGGGTGTCGGGCCCGGATTTTAATCGGTTGTCGGCGCCTCTGTTCACACTTAAATCGGTTGTCGGCCCGACTTAAGCTGCTTGGTGCCATTTTCACTCTACGGGAGGCGACTGTACACGATGGACGTCGACACCTTTTCCTGAACTAGTGTGATCAATTCTTCGGGGTTGATATCTGTTTCCATTACTACGAATCACCAAACGTGCGTACAATAAAAACGCAACAACTCTGCTTGCGCTTCGATGTGCCTTCTTTCTCACTAGGTCCCGTGGAAATAGTCCCGCTGGAACTAGTGAAACCTTTTCTTCTCATTAGTTCCGTGTGATTTTTACTGGAACTAGCGGAACTGTTTCTTCTCACTAGTTCCTTTGTATTTTAACTATTAACTGGAGATGATATAACTACAATTTAAGCTATAATTTCAATATATTTACAATAATTGTGTCAACTACTGTTATAGTGATTTGAGTAAGTAACAAAAACAAATACAGAACTTCATACAAAAAAGTTATAGGTCTACCAGAATCTTATGGCAAATAAAATATCACACAAAACGTGACGTTTTAAATAAGAATTGGTGCACAAAATGTATGGGAATGTGATTGGTGCGTTTTGGTCTAATGACAGTTTAATTTTCGCACGGCAAAAAATTGATCTTTATTCTTGTACTGCACATGAGTTGTAGCTGTGGGAACGAGAGGGTGGGGATAGTCCCGTTAATCGTTGCCGTCACTTTAATCTAATCTAATTTTATCTAATTGAAGATGTCACGCTGTCGTCGCAAATGGACGATGTATATATATATATATATGTAGATGAGATAATATGTAGTAGGTACTGCTACTACTACATTATGGCTTCACTCACATCATATACACTCAATATCGCACACATAAATAATATATACACACCCATACACTCTCATAAAACACACACTCCTAGTCTCCTACACATAAAGACTTTCTTATTGGGCATATTATTGGGTTTTTTTTTGTGTTTGCGATGGCATAGGTGGCTTTTCAAACTTAAATTCAAACTTAAATTGTGTTTATTTACTTATTTTTTGTTACTAGTATAAAGTGCATTTACAACGCCATTTAACTTCAAGCCTCGTACTCCAGTCCCCAAGAGACAGGTGTTACCTAGTTTGGGGACCACTAGCAATGTTGTCTAAGTTGTTAACTTGGTTGAATAAAGGTTTTTTATTTATTTTTTTTTACTTACTCGGGGTGTTGAGGGCCAAGTTGATGGTGTAGGTGGAAGAGTCGTGGTGCGGCCGTAGCGAGGGCTGCTCGTCGGGCCGGTAGCGCACCACGAAGTTCATGATAGACACCGGAGGCTGCAAAAACAACAGTAATGAAACTTGCTTTAGTAGACTACGTTCACGGCGACAATAAGATTTAATTTTCTAACAGCCATTGCTATCGAATAACTATAATCGCAGCAACCTAATAAATCTAAACGCAGTTTTCGCAATATAAATAAGCGTCCAGTCGTGGACAGCGATCATACGATGACCTTTTCGCTCGTCGATATGACAATTGACCCGTCAAACGGTAAAAGTCACAATTTAAAAACTAAATAATCATGATCATAAACTGGCATCATAATAGTATGTATATTGTCACGAGATAAAGTTTTAGCTATAGTGTAAAGTGAAAAAATAGGATTTGCATATGGTTAACGTTTTTTTTTTATTGTTTGGTATCAGACTCGTCCAAATTGCACGAAGAAAGTCTTCAGGTATGTTAGGGCCGGCTAAATACTGCAGATGTCGTAGGAACTACGAGGGCCTGCGCTCGCCAATTTCCTCTGATTGTAAAATCTGCTTCACTTTCCTTTCGCTGGACAAGATAACCTCTTGATCAACTTGGGTTTTATCTTTTCATACTTTCCCCTACTCGGTGGCGAAGTGATTATGTCCTCAACTTCGACAGTAAATTGACGGTCAAGGTGTGAAAGTACGTAGTAATACTTTTTAATATCGTCGGTAATTCTCGCCATTGCAAACAGACTTTCGATGTGTAAAAACCATAATATTGGGGGTTTTTCTGGCCAGAACGGGGGTCATGCCGACTCGGAATGTCTCAGGTGCCAGTAACGTAAGCCCTTGCTGGGAAGTAGATCGGCATCTTCCATTGTATCTAACACCGTGGCGCGTGGTTATAATATTTGCGTCTTGATCTTCCTGAGCGCTCATCTAAAATGTTTGATCGGAGTCACCAATTGGGAGGTGGATCGTATGGAACCACCCCAAGGAAAGAAGGAGTAGAGTTCATATGCATTGCAAGACTTCAATAAAATATTTCACAATGAAAAATGTACAGAGTTCTTCTGACACCTGACGTTTTGTCGTGCGATTTCTTTTCCGCGACTGTCCGTGACGATGGTTGATAGAATGAGGTCGAGTATGAAACGATGACGATGAATGATAGGTGAGGGCACCTACCTACACGTTCTTGTCTAGCTTCAGATTTAATTTTTCTTAGAGCAGAAATTGAAGGCAGTATAGGTTCGGTAGCTGCCATTAAAGTTTAAGTTATTTCATTGTGTACTTTTATAGCAGATTTGTGGCACAACTCTTTAGCCACCGACATATGAGACAACGGGTGATTGTTGGTTGACCATGTTCTCAAGCTCACTACTCGACTAGTAAGTAACGCCCGTATTCACAAACATTACTATGAGGTCTCACAGTGCAGTCAGGACAGGGTGACATATGAACCAATCAAAGAGCTCTATTCAACGCTGTGCGTTCGATTTGCTGCTTCACGCAAGCATCGTTTGTGAATACCGGCGTAAATATCGATAGTTCGTCTTTCAATGTTCTTTCTGCGAGGAAAACTTTTTATTTTGTAACGTGTAGACATCCTAGCATCCATAGATAACTATGCAGTTTCATACAAATGAATGTATTTTAACAGTCGCCAATACACGTGTGAAATAAAACGTGGCCAAGTAGTAACTCACGTTGTGGTAATATCCAGTGAAGACCATCTCTTGCAGCGGTCGCACGTATTCCTTGAGGATTTGCAGCCAATGGCGCTCCAGGCCGACTTGGTTCATGTGGATGTCGCGCGTCGGCACCGCCTCGTAACCGCTGTCGAGGCGCTTATCCTGCGTAAAACAAAGCAAGCTTCATATCCACCATCTGTCACTAATATGAGTGAGGATGGATAGATATTTAGTATTCATCACACAAAAATTGAATTGAAACTTGACAATAATATATCACCAAATCAGTCATCAATCATAATCTTATAATTTACACTTACGTTATTAGACCCGTCGCTCCATTGTCCGTAGTTTTCCATAATCTCGATCCATTCATTGCAGAACCGTTTGGTCATCAGCGGGAACCAGTAGACATCTGGGCATGGCTAGAATAACAAAAATTACAACGGTTCAATGATGAGCTTGCAACTAAATCAATTTTATAACTTAACATGACAAAAGTTTTTCACTAAAACGTCACAAAGATACTTTGATTGGTGCTTTCAGTAATTTTGTTTCTGTTATCATCGTTAACTAACATTCTATCGTTTACTATGGTATGGCATCTGTAAAGGACAGCTGATGGGGCATGCCAGGCGGTTTAGGATGTATGAATGCTGCAGTTTTTGGATTTTTAGAGTATACTCTGCTCATAAGGTAACCCCACAAGTATCAAACCACCAGTATCAAACCACCAGTATCAAAACGACCAGTATAATTTCGTCTAGTTAATCAAATGGACCATTAGTGTCAATTTGTCCATAACATCAATTCGTCTAGCTAGGCTATATGTGTACCTACTATAGATATACTTCAAAATTAATACACTATAATAATTAGTGTAAAAAAAAATAATTATTTCTGTACCCCCAGTGAAAACGGAGTTAAGTCGAAAATGGTGATTTTTGGGAAATCGCATTTGAAGTTAAAAAAAATCCTGCTTCGTCGCTATTATAGATAACTTGGTGAAATATTTTTTAGGTGAAAGGTAATGTTAGATATAATTAGGCAGTGTGCCAGTTTGGGAAATATAGCATGTAGTTTTTTCGTAANTTTTTTTGTGTATATTAATATGAGTCATCTTATATTGTTAATCACAAATTCAATCTGAACAACTTCAATCGTGTAAAAAGTAGTAACACGAGTCGTACCTCTTGACACAATAAAAAATTGAAAGAAGCCTCCGGTACACTTTGTTAAAAGTAGACATGTATCAATATACACGAAAGAAAACTCAAAATTGGTTCACAAAGCCTTACTTGTATCATTTGGCACAAAATTATTTTCTTTTCTATACGTCGTAGAAACATACCGATTAGATACAAAAATAGCTAATTTTTCAGAGATTCACATTATGTTATAAAGTCAATTTTGATCTAAGTCGAGTTAGATCCCTTTTCACTGGGGGTACAGATTTATAATACTTACATTCTAGCGAAAGAAAAATACTCGCTTATATTTCTTCTATAAATAAAAACTGGTAATAATTATTACATATTAAGTACAAAAGCCATAGCTCCGGATTCACGAGTACACGTAGAGATCAAAGGCACACTACTGCAATGCTTACCATCAACGGCTTGTTGCCCTCCTGTAGGCTGGTGGCGTAGTCCTCGTGGAGGTAGCGCGCCTCCCACTCGATCTTGTTGTCGAACAGCTGGTACACGTCCGGGTGGGTGCGGCTGATGTCATAGCTCTCCGGGTTCACGAGGTGCCCGAAGTCCAGCTCGTTGCTGACGTGCATGAATATACCCTGGTGCGGTAATTCATAGTATTTAACGAGACAGCTCAGCATGTTTTATACCGGTCAGACACGTGTCAAGATGTAGGTATACAAATGTTTTAGAGTTTGTTAGGCCCCACACGCGAATACACTCGGCGTCCAAAAAATCACACCTCCCGTGACAATAGCTTTAAATATGCGGTGCACAAACACGGTGCTCGACTAATATTGGTGTTTTTAAAAGCCCAATAAATAAACAGAAAAACACATTTTTTTTAATAAGCGATTAACAGGGGCCGTAAATGTGTCTTGAAAAAAGCCAATTTTGCCCCTCACCTCTGGGACCAATAAGACTAATTTTTGTGGTTATAAAAGCGAATAATCGTCATCCTCTTTAACAGATATTATAGCGATTAATCCCAATTTAACAATTTTTAACCATAAAAGGTAACTGTCGCTTTAAGAAGGAACCTTCTAAAGATACATTTTGGGGTACCAACCTTTCACTTAATGCTTTAATGATATGAAGTTTAGAACTAGGCTTTCAAATGATACCAATATAGGTGGGCAGTGGGGATGCATACGTTTGAAAACGTTTGTCGCGGGAGGTGCGATTTTTTTGACGCCGTAAAATGCAATTCAATCACGAATCAAAGAAGCTAACTACTTGGTAATTGTGATTAAAATGCATCTAAATAAAATTATGACTAAAAAGTTGATACATCTATCGAACTAATTTAATCTTTGCATTAAACTATTAGATATGATGAATCTGAACATTTTAGTTGATAAAAAATGAAGCTCATTAAATGTGCTTCTAACGCTTATCAAATTTTTGTTTTCAAGTTTTGAATATTGTATTACTGTAATTTGTATTATACGCACATGTTCTCTTAGACTTGTACAAAATGCCATGTCTGGATCCACATCCTCCTTGGAGTAAGTGATAGATTTGGCTGCTGGCACCCGAAACACAGAAATCTTCACCAGGTAGCAGTTTGTGATAAATGGTACGTTCCATGTTCCTCTGAAAAACATTCATAAGTTACTATCTACGGATGTGGGTGAGCGTTACACATAACTGATTAAAAGTCAGTAGCCGATGATAACCTTTGTGGTTTTAATTTAAGAAAAACATCTGAATAAATTATTTATGTAATACAGTTCATGTACCTATTGATTTGTAGGTATTCTATGTATGTATGTCATAGGAGAATTTGCCATTTCAACTCACATTTGTCAAAAATATCGATTTCGTATTTTTTTAAATATAAAAATAGGTTTATTTTATTGTATTGCGCTGCGTTGTAATTTAACAGTCGTCGAAATGAAACAGGAAATGACGAGTGCCATACATCAGATAGGGGGAGACAAGGGCCCTCCTGCGATCACCTCTATCATTAGCCAATTGAAAGATTGGCGCGGCAGGAATCGTCGACAACACCAGTTGCACTCGGAGCCCGCACAAGACCATACCTAAGAGAGGGCTCGTGGGCCACGTGTGATCGTCAGCCGCCCGCAACACCTGCACTAATGTTGCTCCCGAGAGGCCAACTGTTCCTAGCGCTGCTGATCGCTTGCCTGCTCCTGGCCGGCCTCGTAGATGCAAGGCGCGGCCGAACAAGGAGCAGAACCAAGTCTAAGGTATCCACATCTCTATATCGAACCATTGAAGATCGTGCTACAGCAATATGTTTACTAAACCTCCATCTGTTTTAGGTGCAAATAGGCTTGCCCATTACTGGAAAATATAGAGACCCCGAATCAGATCAGTATTACAATAACAATGATGTAAGTCTGCCACTTGATTTTGTAATACATTATTATAGTACAAGTATTATTTACCTATATCTTAGACTATAAGTCGTTGCTATAGCGAATGCCGTTTGGAAGTCGGTACAATTCAAAGATTTTTAAATACTAATGCTAAAACATGTTGTCTATACTTCAGGGAGCCAAAATATTACTTGCATCTCATTTTGACCTCGAGTATGTGTTGGGGCATAAAATTGCTTTTTTATGCATCGCAAAGGGTTCTCCTCGGCCACACATTACGTGGTTTAAAGACGGAGTTGAGATATTTGCGCACCACTATTTACATGTAAGTAAACACTTTAATGTTAAAAACTTTCCATTGTCCTACTATGTTTAGGTATCGTTGGAATCTTGGCGGACAGTAATTTAATTGATGCCACCCATTTGTATCTATCTCGGCGACAACAACACCAGTTAGTTTATATACCGTTTTAATTCACTGGCTCAATGGTGTGTCCATTACATCACACACTACATAAAGGATGTTATGTTTAAGTATTGAATTCTACGAAATCGATATTATGAGAAAACTGTGATTGACTTTCTTTTTTATATACCATATCTTGTGAAACGTGAAAAGAGTTTTGTGACAGTTCGTAAAAAAAAGGATTGTAAGCAAGAATTTAATAAGAATGACAACAAATATAACCAGCATATCATATTAAAATTTACAGATCCACGAGTGGCCTATCGGAGATGACCGCGTCAAGTCCAAGATTGAAATCGATCCCGCGACTCAGATGGACGCGGGGGTGTACGAGTGCACGGCGGACAACATGTACTCTATAGATCGACGCTCATTCAAGACCGACTTCTCAATAGCATTTGATTAACACATACAACATACAATCACAGCACGTCACATTATTTATGTCAGTAAAGAGCACATGCATTAAGTAGATAACTGTTAAGTTTCATATCAAGTTTAACCGGCACTCAAATTCATTATTGCTCTAAAAATAAAGTCTATTATCCTTGAATTTTTGTTTATCAATGTTTTACTGACCCCTACATCCAGGAGCAGGAAAAAAGAATGTTAATGTATAAATAATGCAGGAAAAATAGATGACATAATGTATTTTGATTAATACATGCTAAACCTCACCTGATTACATGATATACGATGTCCATGTAATCTGCAGACCTGGCATAAAATCCAGCGGAATTTATGGCCCCCCAGAAGTTTGACCATGCTTGACCTGGCCTCACTAACATGGGTGCTATGACGTCATACCCCGACGACAGTAAATGGCGCAATGTGTTACTTTTGATCCGAGATAAACTGTCGATGGCAAACAGGTAGTCGCATACGCTGTTGATGCACCGATCTCTGTAGAGAGTGAGAGCACAATATTAGGTTCCTCCAGTGCTTCGATCATAGTATCATCACTAAACACTAAAATTTAAATGAGCCAATTTTTTACACATTCAGACAATAAACAAAATACGCCTTACATAGTAATGATAATTTCCTTATACGAAATATAGTACTTAACAAAACGCACCCTTAATAATGAATGGGCACAACTCCAAAATTCAGTTTTTTGGGAAAAGCCAAAAAACCAATCGGCGGATCGCGGTTTTTTACATAATTGGCTCTAAAATCTTTATTTTATCAGCTACAACTTTCAAATTAAGCATACTTCATCACTGGTATGTGTTATATAATTTGACATAAGACATTTTTGAAAATATTGATTATGAGTATTAAAAAAAATTGTTTAAAAAAATATTTCAAAGTTAGGCCTTTATTTTACTATTTCTGTTGTTGTGATTTTGGGTATTACTTGTACTTGTGCCCATCTAATCCTTAGGCTGAGTTGTTTTATATGTCATATTCCCTAATATTGCTCTCTAATATTTAAAAATAAGTGTATTATTCGATTTTTATATTGATTTACGCCCAATAACATTGGGGACAGTTATTGTGCGGTATAGTAGCTTATAGCCAATTCAGTATAAGAGTAGGGTGCTGAATACTAGAAAATTATTAGATATGTCGAATTAGATTAAAATAAAGACTATTAGCTATTTCTCTGAGAAAAACGACATGAAAATACTAATTTTATGCATTCAAAATATTTTTACTTAGATAGATAGCGACTTTTACCCTATAAAAAATATGCTTTTCATCAAATAAAGAAAAAACCTACAAAAACTTTTTCTGTAAGGTTTTCTGTTATGGATTTGTTCAGGATAATCACTTATTAAAGTCCAACAGCCAGTACCTTGGTATCTTTTTTCCACTATCCTGCTGTCCTGGTGGAAGGAACCGTTCTCCTTGTCCCTTACTATAATCACCCACATTATGTGGGAATCAGTTCAAATGGCTATTGTAAAAATACAATTTAATACTCAAATTGGCGTCTGTAATTTTTGAAGGATTTTAGCAACCAATTTTGAACACAAGAATATATTATCCATTCTGGTGTTCTAACATTCCCCAAAAAATATTTTACTACTAAAGCACCTTAGCCATGCTTCAGATTCAATTTGTGTTATATGGTTTACAAATACAGTATTTTATAAGAGCACGGATTTGCAGTCCATCGAAGATAGCTGCTTTTAATTTTTCCGTACTCATCATCATTTTGCTTTTGATCATTTTAGTGATTAGAAAGCTCAATACATATCTTTGGCCCTCCAAATAGAAGCCCTTTACATCTTGCTTGACTTCAGTATTGCAAAGAGTCTAGGTACACAATATTTACGACGTTATTGGACACCCAATATTTATTATTTTGTACAATTTTTATCCCAAAGTATGCTTGGTTTGTTATCACAAACTCCGTGATCTTTTTTCTTTGCTTTTGTGTACAATATTTGAAACATTTTAATAAAAACTGTTAGTGGTGTTAACACAAGATTTCATTACGAACTCATATTTTTTAAGACAAAAAGCACTTTAAGACTTAAATTTAGACAAACTGAAAATTTCAAGGTCTAATAGCTGATCAGTAAAATTGTAGTAACTTAATACGTGAAAAGATAATTTTAAAATAAATTCGATGTATCCTCAGTCCTCAGAATCTGAGTGATTAATTAGCATCAATTTATGTGACCGTAATAAATTAAAGAATATAATTATAAATTATAACACTAACATATTAAAGTAATTCACCTTTTGGCTGACTAGTGCGTTTATTCATGAAATAAACAAAGAAAAAAGCCAACCCGAGCCCCGAGCGAACGTTAATAGCCTTAACACGTAGGTATGTCTCTTATTTTATAAATCATTAGTTTATTTGTCGGGAAGTATTTCATAACCACCGCTTTATTTCTTAGCATCGCGATAAAACATTCTATAGGCTCCTAATCAACCAATAGGTATGAAAATTAATACCAAGAAGCAAATTACTTTTATAGGAGAGTTATAAATTTAACTACAAACACCCATCCATGGTCCGCCTAACTAAAGTTAAAGTTATATTTTATAATTTTCTATGATTAACGGGACTTTATCAATGTAATAAAAATGAAAATGTAACATATTATTAGAAATATATGGAATTAATTAGACTTAGCTCACTAACACTTACTTAAAAGTTTGTCACACAAAGGCACAACTCCAAATTGGACCACAGTCGCGGGGGCCGGATTCGACAAATATCGGCATGTCTCTGATTCAGCCCTTCTAGCGGGAAGATAGATGAAAGTATGGAAGGGGCACAAAATGTAGAACTCTTTAATCTGATCATTGTTTTCGATTTCTGTGAAAGCCATCTTGTAGAACTGACGAAAATATGCCTCTCTAGTACAAAAAGTAAAAAACCAAAAATTTTGAGTTGTGCCCCTATATTATTAAGGGTGCGAAAAGATCTGATAAAAGCACAGTCATGTATTATGATATTAAATTCTTACTTGGCAATGTTTCTTGCTTCAGCCTCAGAGATGAAATCGCTTGGCTTTATACGCTTAGCTGTGGCATATTCCTTCGAGTGAGCTTGGAAAAAGTCATCTACTTCAGTCTCATGATACTCTACATTATTCCTAAGCAAAAGGTGGATTTTTCCTTTTGGATAATCTATGTCAATTAGCTGTTGTAAGAAATCCTCTAAAAATGGCGTGGCCTGTTCAATGAAGACTGCCAACATCACACTAGGTAGCTCGTTATCCTAAATGAAAAACAGACAGTAGTGATCAAAAGTCCAAATGCAAGAAATAAACTGAAATTCGCATAAAATAAGAGAATTTACCTTTAGTTCAACTCTTTTCTCTTTACATAACGCACACCCCTCTTTGATGGACCATGACTTGGCCAGATAGTTACCCAGGTTATTAAGAGTCAACTTTGAAGGTCCATTTGCATGTACAATCAGGGGTCTTTCTTTGGTAGCAACATTTTCTAAATAGGGCCAATCTTCTGTTGTGTTAGTTTTTAATTGAACATCCGCTGTACATGAAATTTTTAAGATACAATATAATTGTTGTCTTACATTTTACCAATATGACAAAATATTTATAATTTCAGAACATTATACTTACACAAAGCTCCATTTAGATTTTGAAATATTGCAGAGTTGTGATCAAGAGATATTTTTAGCTTTTGTCTCAATTCTTTGTTCAAGTAAATTTTGGTATAATATAATTGATCATCATCTTTGTCCTTAATTGGCTTATGACTTACAATTTCAAACAATTCAGAAAGGTATCCTGAAAACAAAAGGGTGAAAATAATAATTGTTTTATTACTATCTCCAAAGGCTTTGTTAAAACAATATTTTTCTTGACATCAAATGTCATTTCATAAGACAATGGGCAGTTTTTAAATATTATTATAGTAGGTACTGTTATTGTTAGAGACCATTATGCAAAGTTCAAACATTTTTCATGCTATGCTAAAAAGTTGAATGTTTAATTAATACTTACCTATGATTCCGCCAGAATTTAAATATGGATTTGCTACTTCAGTCTTGGGATACTGCGCGGCTAATTTACTGTCTGGCCAACAAAACTGTTCAGCCGAGAACAGTACACGAGTATCAGTGAATGATTTGAACTTCTTCACAATGTCTTCTAATGATGCAATGAACATGACATCATAGCTAAAACAGAAATTAATACAATGTCCACAATATTACATATTGATAATTAAGTTTAAATTAGATTGATCTCTTCCTAATAATAGTGAAAATATACATTAAAAAAAATTTAAAGATTTTACAGAGGATGCATTATGCCCTTACTTACAACAAGATCATATTACATTGAATTACTATGCTGTTAAATGAGATGTCAATCAAACACATTAAAACAGAATAATACCTGTCGGTGAACAGAATGATTTTATTTTTATTTTCCAACTTCATCAATTCTGACAATTTCTCCTTGAGAAGATTTATCTTCTGGCCACCTCCAGCATAATTCATATCACCACCAGACCATTCTTTGCCTTTTCCCAACACCTCAACGTCAATTCCATAAACTTTGGCAGATCTTAGAAACCGCTGCAGTCCATGGTTATCGTCAGTGGCAACAGTAATAACTTTAATATCTTCTGTAAAGAAAAAAAATTACAATCACTATGTTACTCATCTTAAGGTAAGCTTAAAATTAATACTTATCACTACCTATAAGACCTACAATGTTAGGGCTTAGCAATATTATAGTTATTTTAAGTACATCATCATACTAAATGAAAACTTAATAGTTATAAAAGAAATTCGCCAGCTTTTTACATAGGTAGTTTAAAAGAAATATTACATTCAAACTTACCAACGGCTATACTGTGTGAGACAAATAAAAATAGTAAAGTGATTAATTGTAAAAGCTTTCCAGATTGATCCATGATGTACGCGGTTCAATGGACTTTCGTACACTGGCACATAAATTATGTGCTGTTTAATACAACGCTCGGCTAAAGAAAGACTCGTTTATTGCCCGAGCCTGCTCCAGATACGCGTTCTCACTTCCTAAGCGATAAGTTTTCAGAGTAATAATACTGCGTCCCACCACTCCCTACCCGGGCCGCCCTGTGATAAAGCTAGACGCTTCCTCTAAATACTGGATCTCGACTGCGCTACTTCAAATAATGAGATCACCTCGGATGCACATATGGTTTTACATTTCATTGATGATACTTCTAATGATCACACAAAAGCACATATTCAGTGTGTTCACACTAATGCAGACCGGCAATACACTGACGGGCTGGCTGGACAATGCCCAATGCCTTAGTTAGCGACGAGCGTATCACAATCACAACCACAACATCAATGAAACATAAACAGCTGAAACGTCAGATGTCAAAATTATAATAGTGATGTTCGTCGTTGATGACACATCGCTTAATCGAATAATCGATTGCATGCATCATCATCACATTGTATCGGATCTTTATATCAAACAATATGTTTTTAAATACAATAAGTATTAACATTGTTAATAGCACATAATTATTAGGTATATTGAAATGATTTTGGCGATTTCATACTTTATGCAATTTTCTATTAAAATGGTTCAAAAATATGATTGATTGATCCGTTTTGGATAAAACGGAATGGTGAAAATGTAACGTATTTTTTTTATTCATCGCAATATGAGCTTTTGCTTACATCGCAATAAGTACAATCGATTAGATATATTATTACTTAATCGGTCCATTATTAATAATTTCCAATTTTAATATCGAAACATTTCAAACAAAATCTTTGAACATCTCTAAGATAAAAATATGATGCAATGAATGTCCAATTCATAACTAAATTAAAAATTAGCCAACCATGAGTCGAATTGGCGCAAGAAACTCAAGTCTTTGAAGGCCTTTAAAAACGACTGGACTTGGTTTTGGAGCCTCACGCACGACTAGACTAGTCTTTTAACTCTCAAGTCCTGAAGTCAAAAAACTAAAACTCAAGACTAATTTTTTGAGTCGAAGTATAGTCCAGTAGAATTAGCTTTTAAATCGGAAATAATTCCTACAAAAGATTTTATTGCTTTAATGGCTTCATTGGTTGCCCTTTAAGACTCTCCTAGGTTTTCGACTTCGACGGAGTTGTGCTTAAGTGGTGGGGGCCCCCGAAAGGGGCGCTTTTTCGGTTTTCCGATTATATCGCGTAAAGGACTTACCCTATCGAAAAGTGGTCTTCCTGACGGTTGAAGGGCATTTAATCCTGCATTAAATAAGACCAAATTCATATTTTTTGGACAAACCGTTCTCGTGCAAATGTTCGGCAAAGTAGAAAATATGTGTATAATTAATGACCCTCTCCACGTCCAATAGCTCGTCACCCGTATGCTCCCAAGCCTTGTAAAGGGTCGCCTTAACCAGCGTATCCCTGTCTAGGCTCACGAGTTGGATTCGCTTATCCTTGTTCGTTCCAGCCGTTCCTTAACTGCGGTTGCTGCACCTCTTCCTGGCACTCTCCTGAACGACTCTGTGTTACCTACTGTGGCTGCCCCTCTTCCTTGTACCCTCCTGTACGATTGCATTGCTTAGCCATATGCTTGGTCTAAGGTTCGACGCCACAAAATCAACTTCGTACGCGTGAAAATAGTTTAAATACTATTTTCCGTGCTTGCAACATTTTTCTTTACTGCTTCGCCTCTATTAGTCGTAGAGTGATTGTATATATCCTATAGCCTTCTTCAATTTATGAGCTATTCAACACAAAAATAATTATTTCAATCAAACTAGTAATTCTTGAGATTAGCGCGTTCAAACAAACAAACAAAAAACTCTTCAGCGTTTTAATATGAACTTGTTGTTGTTGATTTTTGGCGTCGAACCTTAGACCAGGCATACGGCTAGGCAACGTAGTCGTGCAGGAGGATACAAAGAAGAGGAGCAGCCACAGTAGGTAACACAGAGTCGTTCAGGTGAGTGCCAGGAAGAGGTGCAGCAACCGCAGTTAAGGAACGGCTGGGACGAACAAGGATAGGCGCATCCAGCTCGTAAGCCTTGATAGGGTTACAATGGTTGAGGCGCTCCTTTTCAAGACTTGGAAGCCTGTGGGTAACGAGCCATTGGACGTGGAGAGGGTAATTAATTATACACATATTTTCTACTTTGCCGAACATTTGCACGAGAACGGTTTGTTCAAAACATATGAATTTGGTCTTATTTAATGCAGGATTAAATGCCCTTCAACCGTCAGGAAGACCACTTTTCGATAGGGTAAGTCCTTTACGCGGTATAACCGGAAAACCGAAAAAGCGCCCCTTTCCGGGGCCCCCACCACTTAAGCACAACTCCGTCGAAGTCGAAAACCTAGGAGAGTCTTAATGGGCAACCAATGAAGCCGTTAAAGCAAGTAAATCTTTTGTTTGAATTATTTCCGATTTAATCAATTTTTGTGTTTAATTCTACTGGCCTAGTAGTTTAACCTCAGATAAATGGCTTACGAGGGGCGGCTGAAAAGTTTTGAGCCTAAGTATCTTCAAGTGTTATTATTGGCTCGCGCTAAATTTAATTAATTAGCCAATAACCTCCTTAGTATATGTGTTATAGTCAAACCTCGAAGTTCCGGCACTCCTAGGTTTGACTAGTCAATCCTCAGGTCTGACTAGAAGTCTTAGTCAAAGCCCAAACATTTCGGTCTTTGACTAAAGAATGTTAGTCAAACCTAGGAGTAACCAATTTGGTTAAGCAAACGTCGAAACTCAATTTAATGAAATCAGGGTTTGACTAGTCGAAACTCAATAGACTTTAAACTAAACTATACTTCACTCAGATCTCGAACTTATTGCATAGGCGTTACGGTCGGTTTCTCATTAGGTGAAGCTACGAGTAACTAAACTTATTTACTGCGGTTGTACCTATGTCAGTGTTTCTGGACCGATCTTGAAATTACTAATTTTTAGGGTTCTGTTACCTTAAAGAATAAATATTTAAAACGGGACCCTATTACTATGACTTCGCTAAATGTTGTCTGTTACCAGACTCGTATCTCATGAATCATTCTCAAAATATTTATTTTTCTATTCACTTTAAAAATAAATAAATAATTCAGCAATCGTGACTTTTGTTGCAATTTTCTGCTTGATATTAAAATGTAAACAGATGAACCCTTGAAATATTCACATAATATTTAGTTGCATAAGTATCTACTTTAAAAATAGGTAAATCACAAAATTAAAATTTTAAAAAAATTAAGGGGGGGCTCCCATACAACAACAGAGTCACACGGAACTCTTCGTGAGCGAATCCGACTCGCACTTGGCTGGTTTTCTATTTGCCGTCTACTTTTGATCGAGTTTGCCAGTCGTTTCTCGGATTCACTAGGCAAAGCCCGAAACAGATTATTTTAGTTTCGGCGTTTGACTGAACAGTTTAGGCACTTCTAGGTTTGACTTAGTCAAAGGCCGAAATAAGAATTCACTTCGGGGTTTGCCTGAAGGCCTTGGTCAAACCTAGGATAGACCAGTCATTCCGCGAAGAGACTGCATATCGACCTTTGACTATGACATATGTACAAAGTGTCATTTCATTAGCGTCATCACGCTTTTAGTAATTAATTCTTCTCATCATCCGCGCAATGTACGAAATTGAAGTACACAGTTGTCATAAAATTCATCAAAAAGAGGAACAAAAAGCTGACGGTAACATTTGAGGAGATGTCTACAGTTTATGGGGAGTCTAGGCCTTCATTTGCTATCATGGAAGATTGGATCCGATAGTTCAAGCATGGCAGGGAGTCGCTAAAAGAGGACCGCAAGTCAGGGCGGCCAGATTTCGCCATTAACGAGTAAAATAATGAAAATTTAAAGAATCTTGCTTCTTAGAGATCAGCGAATTAAGCTGTGACAGATAGCTGAAGCCATAGGCAGTAGCAAGGAACGTATCGGCGATATTTTTCATACTCATTTGCACATGGAAAAGGAGTGCACGCGATGGGTGCCAAAAATGCTCACGCCGCTCGACAACTAGCGTCGAGTCACAACTTCGCAGGAGTTTTAGGCCATCTTTGGCCATAATCCTAACAATTTTTTTTCTCACATTGTTACTATTTATAAATAATAGATCCGGCAGTACGATCTAGAGTCAAAATTAAGAGTCAATGCAATGGATTCAAAAGGGAAAACGCCGCCGCGGAAATTCAAAGTGGAGCGATCGACACCCAAGCTCATATCCACTATTTTTGGGATTGTGGAGGAATTTTATTCATTGACTACCTACTTAAAAAAACTACAATAAACGGGGATTATTATGCTGTACTGTTGATAAGAGTGCGTCAAGTGGTTGTTGAAGTATTAAGAGGCATACTGGCGAAAGGAAATCTGTTATTGCAAGACAATTCGCGCACACCGCGCAAGTTGCAAGGCTTGCCCCGGGTAAAACTGGATTTCAAGAAATTAATCACCCACCACAAAGTTTAGTCCGAATCCTTAGCTATTTTGTCTAATTCTCAAATTGGAAAAAAGAGCTCCAGAAACGAAGATTTTTAAGTGACAAAGAAATAAAGGCGGCGTTAAAGGCTCATTTCGAAGGTAAAGATTGCGAATTTTTTTTTCAGTGGGTTAAAAGCTCTTTTACACAAATGTAAGAAGTCCGTTGTAGTAGAGGGAGATTAAATAGAAAAACGTATTTTTCATACTTTTCTATCGGCATTTTTAATACCCTAGGCTCAAAACTTTTCAGCCGCCCCTCGTATACGGCTAAAATTACTCGCGCCTTAGTCGCTACTCTAGAGTCTAGAGTCGCGAATCTCATAAGTCAATTAAACAGAAAAACAAAAATAAATAAATAAATTAAGGAACAGATTAGGAAATCAAAGCATGGTGGCATGGGCATCAATGTGCCTATCGTCGCGTCGTGGATGAACGTCGTTTAATATACTTTTAAAAATATTTAACATAAACAACTACATAATTATGTAAAAGTTACAAGAACAAAAGCCTGATTATTAACTTTATTGTTTTAATTATTTACATTTTCGCATTTGGACCCAAGAGCTTGTATAAGCTGTATTGAATAATGAAAGACGACTCAGGCGCGAGTTCTTTAGTAACAGCTCGAGTCGTTTAAGTCCTATACTATAACGACTGAGTCTAATTATTACTAAAGATTTGCCCACTGAAATCGTATTAAATTAAGTAGAGTGCTTTTGTAAGGGCTTATAATAAGTAAGAGTAGGCGCACACCGTTGATTTTTAGTTGGCCGATAGTTGTGCCCGATTTTAAACTGTAATGAAGAATCGGCCAAATCGAATCGGCGTAGTGTGCGCACTCCCATACATGCCCATACTAATCAACTGCCCGACTAAACTATCGGCCGACGAAAAATCAACGGT